ATGGGGTGTGACACAAAAGCACTGGAAAAACTCCAGTGCAAGTAACAGCCCACATTTTAGGCAAAGGCAGTGGGTCTGAAAGCCAACAAAATCAGGCCCTACACGCCCCCAACGGGTCGGCAAGTAAAGAATCCTCCTACAATGCAGGAGATGCAGGAGATGCTGGTTCCAGCCCTGGGTCAGGAAGATCCCCTGGAAGAGGAAATGGCTACCCACTCCAGTATTCTTGCCTGGAAACCCCCACATACAGAGGAGCCTGGCAGGCGAGAGTCCACAAGGTGGCAAAGAACAGGACACAACTGAGCACATCAATGTATGAATGNCGCGGGGGGGGCGGCGCGGGGAGGGCTGCCTTTTAAGGGGCATCGTCCCGGCTCCTGGGGAAACTCACAACGGCAGAGGAGAGGCTGAAAATCCTACTCCAGAAGCCCAGAACTGCAGTTCTTTATCCTTCACCCAAATGCAGCCCCTTTTGCCTTAACCACATATGAAGGGCACCCGATTTCAAGACTTTCAGGTCACAACCTGTGCAAGCAAAACCAATTAAGTTCATGCGGGTGCCACACCAGGTGGAGGTAAGCCGGGAAGACTTCCTGAAAGAGGAGGAAGACAGAGAAGCTTTGCAGCTGCGTACCCTTGAGAGGGAAAAGGCTCACCTCTGGCTGTAGCTGGCCAGAAAGTCAACCAACTCCATGTTTCTTCAACTGTCCATCTGTGGCCCAGGGAGCTTGTTAAAAACACACCTCTTCAAGCAACGTCCCCGCCCCCCAGATACCAAAACAGAACCTCTAAAGGTGGGGGGTGGGACGGTTGCTAAGAATAGTCTCTTTTTTAAAACCAAATTTGCCAAGCAATTCATTTTTTATGCAAACCACAGGGTGCAGGCCAGGGGGACGCTCCCTGGGAGCAGCTGGTCTGGGAAGAGCTGGCAGGGAGGGCCCTCCAGGAGTCACGGAGCAGGGGAAGAAGGCGGGTGTAGACGGAGGGCTATTCCAGGACTGTTTAGCTCCAGCATCCCGAAGCCCTCTCCCACCGAGACTTCCTGTTATGATCCTCACTGGAGCTGGCTGGTGAGAGAAAACGTCTGTGCCAGGGCACTGGGGCGGGTGGGGTGGGGGGAGAGGGATGACCATCTTTCCGTTTACAAGCTATAATAGAAAGGCTGGGACCATATGAAAAATCAAGTCTAGGCGACCCTGACAGTAACCGAGAGACTCCATCTGGACGACAGAAACGTGTCTGGTTGAGAGTTAAGTAACCTCAAAACTTCCTCATCCCAAACAAACACCAGCTCCATTCTACGTGCAGGCAACCAGCCGCGGCTGGAGAAGACAGCCTGGGTTTGCGTGTGTATTGTCGGGGGAAGCTCTGGGCTGCGGCAGTCTCTGATGCAGGGAGAAGGAACTCTTTCATGGGGCTCCTCAACTCCACACAAGGGCTCTCTTATGCAAGGACGCTGGGCCAGCTTCCATTCACAGTGGTTACTTCCAAATACCCCTCCAGGCTGGCTCTGCTCACCCCGAAAGAAGAGAGGGACCCCTCCCCAGCCCAAGACGGCTGGACAAAACCCTCGATCCACCCCAAGGAAGGGGTGGGAGGCCGTGCTCCTTTAGAGCTGCTTGGATCACCGGGAAACTCGGCCTCACTGGGCTGGTTCGCACACTTAGCACCAGACACACCTGCTGCTCAGGCGGCGTGAGTCACCCCCCAGGCAGCGGGCGCCGGACTCCCCGACGACGGGGGTTCCGGGCTTGGCAGCGGGCTCTCACGCAACCCCGATGACATCCTCCACCTCCTCCCCACCCCCGAGGCAGGTCAGGACAGATCAGGCTGTAACCCAATTTCTACTGAAACGACTCACTCCCAGGGAAGGTCCACAGAGGAAGGAGAGGGTATACGGAGATGCTCCACCCGCTCGTGGCCAAGGGTCCTCTCCCCTCCACACCCTGGAGGGACTCATCTGCCCTGCCCGATATAAAAAGGGAGGAGGGGGTGAGTTAACCTGCGGGAGAAGAGGGAACAGACTTCTCAGTTTTAAACCTCCAGAATAAAGACGGTCTGCCGAGATGCATAAGCTTTCGCCCGGGAAGCACAGCGCCTGTGGTCAATGATCCTGTATTGGATCCTTGAGGGCCTCCCTGACCGCTCAGCGGTAAAGAATCCACCTGCAATGCAGGAGCCACAGGAGCCGCAGGCTCAACTCCTGGGCCAGGAAGATCCCCTCGAGGAGGAAATGGCAGCCCCCTCCAGTATTCCTGCCTGAAAAATCCCACGGACAGAGGAGCCTGGCGGGCTACAGTCCATGGGGTCACAAAGAGTCAGACAAGACGGAATGACTGCGTATGTAGGCACTGGACATTTGAAAATTTGCTAAGAGGGTAGCTCTTCTGTTAACTGCTTTTGCTGTCAAAAGATGATAAAATAGTAAATAAGAGGGTGGAAGAAGATTTTGGAGGTGATGGGTATGTTTACGGCATGTACTGTGGTATCAGTATCACGGTGTACATGTATGACCAAACTCACCGAGTTGTCGACATGAAACATGTATGGCTTTTTGTATGTCAATCATGCCTCAAATAAGTGGTTTTTAAAGAAGACAGCCTGCTGAATCACTCTCAACGTTCACGTTTTTACATGACAGCTCTTTCTGCCATTCAGAATCCTGAAATCGATCGTGGACCAGAAAAAAAAACATTAGTAGGACAATTGGGAAAATGTGAATGAGGCCTAAGATGGGTTCAAAGTATTCTGCCAATGCAGGGGACACGGGTTTGTTCCCTGATCCCAAGAGGATCCCACATGCCTCGGAGAAACATGCGCCACATCTATTGAGCCTGTGCCTAGAGCCCAGGAGCCACAAGGACTGAGCCCGCATGCCCAGAGCCTGTGCTCCGAAACTAGAGGAATCACCGCAGTGAGAATCCCATGCACCGTAAGCAGAGGCAGCCCCTACTCACAGCAACTAGAGAAAAGCCTGCCCAGCAACGAAGACCCAGCACAGCCAAAAATAAATATAAATAAATGAGCTTTTTAAACAGTTAGTAATAATTTGTAGAAGGACAGCATTTTAAATCCAGCTTCCCCGTAAATCTTCATCTCCGGCATTGCTAAAATAATTTCAATCCCAGCCCTGAAGGCAAATTTTAAGTTACTCTCACAGCCAATGCTGATCAACTCTTGGCTTCAGGAAAAATAAAAGGCAGCAAAACACAGCATTCACTCAGTGAGCACTGAGCTCCTACTGTATCCTGGCTCCCAGCTGCGGTATTACCTGCAGGCTAAGCGCTGCAGTCTTCCTCCAAGCCCACCTGGGAAAGGTCCACAAGAAGGGCACTCCTTTTATTTTAGGCATGACTGATTTAGAGCAAAGGGTGACTTCTGGGAATTTTCCAAAGGAAATAATTCAAAATATGGACAAATCCTTATGTACAAAAGAGACTCACCAATGCATGACTTCAAAGGGTAAAAATTTGGAAATACCTTGGTGTCCAACAACGGGAGAATTGTCACGCAAACTATGATTCAGTGTCTGCAGCGAATACAGTCATTATGTGGGGAAATGTTCAAAAAAAAAAAAAAAGGGAGGTGGGGGATAGAGAGGGAACCAGCGTTGCATACATTGCAGGGCTTTCAGCAGTGAGGAAATATGTCAAATTGCCAGCATTACTGTGGGAACTGCGTGTTTCCTGCATTTTGCAATTTTTTTTTGTAGTTTTCTATAAAAGACAGAGAAAGGGCAGCGGATTACTTTTAAAAATCAGACGGGGGTGCAGAGGTGGGCTTCCAGGACACCAGTGGGACAGTTTCAACAGCTCCTCTCCCAGAGAGGGTGGGCAGGACCACAGGGCACACACTGCAGCAGGTAGGCAGTGCCAGGGACCCGGGTGTGGCCAGAACACTGGCTCCCGGGGGAAGAGCTGAACCAACACATTGTCTTTTTTCTTCCAGCGGGGCCTGCTTCTCCCACTTTCCCAAGCACGTGCTCGCGGAAGGCACTGGCACCCAAGCGAGACCCCTGACGGCTTCCCGACGCGTTCTATGCAGAGGGGACCGCTGGACGGGAGGCGACCATCACAAACAGACTTCAGACAGGGCTGGAGGAGGGAGGGGAGGGGATCTCCCGGCTGGGAAAGCATCCCCGGGAAACCGGCTTCAGGGGAGAAGTCACGGCAGTTGAGGCCAAGTGCCAAAGGCAACGTGAAAGGCGGCCCTGGGTTAATCCATACGCCAAGGCGGCTGGCTCAGTCATTCGCTCAGCAAACAAGTGCTCCGGGGCCTGCTTGTTGACAAGGCAGGGCGCTGCTCTGAAAGGCGCACGCACAAAAGGAAGAGGGAGGGGAGCTGTGGATGCAGAAGCGGTTTGCTTTCAGCTCAGGACTCAAGAGGAAGGTCCCGCTCCTGAGGCTGGCGAGGACACCTCTTCCACTAACAATCTGCACTGACGGGCGGGGACGGTAGCAGCATTGGAGGGAATTCCTGACACCTCTCACCCATTCAGTGAACCCCCTGATGGGTGGCGCGGTCCTTGCAGTAAAGCCGCTCGTCGGCGACCAGGATTGGGGACCGGAGACATCCCCCGCCCCGTCGCCCCCACGGGGAGAGGCGCGCCAAGCGCTGCCCCTCGATCGCACTCTGGGTCGCCGGCGAGCAGACGTCGCGAGCTCACCGAGGTAACGGGCCCCGCAGCGCGACATGCTGAGAAGGCAGTAAGTGCCAGGGGGTCGGGCGGGGACCCCGAGGACGCGGACCTCTCCCCAGGCCGGGGCCATGTCCCGCGGGGCGGCAGGAGGTTAGGCGGCGTTGGAAGGGCGATGAGCCAGGATAGGCAATGACCACCGTGAATCCGCTCCGCCTGGAGGCAGACGATGGCTAAAACGGCCTCTGAGAAGATGTCAATTACAAGAACAAAAATCTCAACCCAGAAGCGCAAGACCTTCTTCATAAAGCGACGCAGGGGGTCATATTATATCCCCTCCTCCCCGAATCGCGGGGAGACTTACCTCCCGGGAAGCGACCCGACTGTTGGGTAGAAGAACGCATCAATCCACGGATGGAGACGAGGTCGCGGGTCATCAAGCCCAGCGGAGATGCACCAAGTAATCCAAGGTAGAGGGTCCGGAGGCCCCGTCCCCATTTCCATTCAAGGCCCAAAGCGCCGGCAGTCCCCGCGGAGATCGCGCGCGGGTTCGCCGGCCCGGGAAGCGACCCGACTGTTGGGTAGAAGAACGCATCAATCCACGGATGGAGACGAGGTCGCGGGTCATCAAGCCCAGCGGAGATGCACCAAGTAATCCAAGGTAGAGGGTCCGGAGGCCCCGTCCCCATTTCCATTCAAGGCCCAAAGCGCCGGCAGTCCCCGCGGAGATCGCGCGCGGGTTCGCCGGCCCGGGCTCCCCAGCTGCGCCCCGCCAACCCCGACGATCGCAGCCCGCCTCCCCGCGCTCGGAGAGCACCCAGCCCGGACGCAGCTGTTCATCTTTCTTCACTGCGTATCACCAGCTCGACCCCAGGAATCCCCGCCAGGAACCCCTCTGCCAAGCCCGGAAAAACACAAGGGGCAGAGGCACTCTGGGCCTCGGGTCTGCAGGTGCGCGGGACCCGGGCGGTGCAGGGCGGGCGCCAGGCGGGCAAGAGACGCCGGTAAGAAGCGCCGAGCCACAGCCGCCCGCTGAAGGGTAAATGTTCTCACAACCTCAGTTCCGCGCCCGCGCCACCGCGCGCTCTACTCGCGGCCGGACCATCCGGCCCTTATATAGCGGCAGCGGCCGGGGCGGAGCTGGCGGAGCGTGCGAAGGGGGCGGGGCGGGGCCGAACTGCTTCCCGGGAGATGGAGTTCTGTCTAAAAGCCCCAGATGCTGGGAAAGATGGAAGGCGAGAGGAGAAGGGGACGACAGAGGATGAGATGGTTGAATGGCATCACCGACTCAATGGACATGAGTTTGAGCAAGCTCCGGGAATTGGTGATGGACAGGGAAGCCTGGCGTGCTGCAGTCCACGAGGTCGCAAAGAGTCGGACACAACTGAGCGACTGAACTGAACTTCCAGGCAACAAGCGCAGAGTACCTTCTTCCTAACTTCCTAGCCCTAATTTCCGAGACCAGGCTGGGATTCCAGCCTCACTGTCAGCTCCTTTAGGTGCAGGCCGGCCTTTGTGCATAAAGTGGGACCCGTGTGCGCGCTTAGTCCCCCGGTCATGTGTGACTCCCTCCCACCCTATGGGAGGGAGTAGCCCGCTATGTAGCCCGCCAGGCTCCTCTGTCCATGGGATTCTCCAGGGAAGAACACTGGAGTGGTTTGCCATTTCTTCCTCCAGGGGATCTCGTTGACTCAGGGATTGAATCCGAGTCTCCTACGTTGACAGGCGGATTCTTTCCCAATGAGCCACCTAGGAAGCCCATAAGGTGGGACATCCCAAGCTAAATTCTGCCCAGGGTGACCCCCACCCCCTGGTAACCCTGCAGTCAGACAAACCTAGCTAGTTGCAGCCGTGTTTGCCGTCAGTGAGCTGCTGTGTGACCGTCAGCCTGCAGTTAGCATGTTTGTTCCCTTTCACAGGGCTACAGAGGGACATGATCCTACAGGGCAGACTTATCCCCCCATCCCTGACCTTAAGTGATAAACCACTTGCCACCCTGAGGCCCTCCTAGATTAAAATTCTGGAGCTGTCACTGCCCGTTGTCATTCAGGCTCCGATTTCTGCAGTAGCCTCTCCTTCGTTCAACACTTGCATATACTGGGGGGAGAAAAGCAGGAGTCAGGCCAGAGGCGGCCAGAGTTATCCTGATAACAGCAGGGGCGTTAAAGAGACTGCATGGACCGTGGGCAGGTGGCACAGTGATAAAGAGTCCTCCTGCCGATGCAGGAGATGCAGGAGACTCGGGTTGGATCCCTAGGTCGGGAAGATCCCCTAGAGCAGGAAATAGCAACCCACTCCATTATTCTTGCCTGGAAAATCCTATGGATAGAGGAGCCTGGTGGGCTACAGTCCGTGTGGCCGCAGAAGGTCAGACACGGCTGAGCAACAGAGCACACACACGTGGACCACAAACATCTAACCAGTCTGGGGGCAATAGCCAGGGGTCCAGAGGGCCTGCGTCTGACCTGGTTCTGGATGGAGTGGTGAGGAAATAGCTAAACAAAAAGACACAGGGAGACTTCCCTGGTGGTCTGGTGGTTAAGACTCTGTGCTTCCAACGCAGGGGCCACGGGCTCGATCCCTGGTCCGGGAAATGAAATCCCACAGGCCCTGGGGGCACAGCCAAAAGATTTTTTTAAGAAAAAAGGAAGTGAAAAATAGAGGATGATGTAGAAGTGACTAAGGCAAAGGCTAAGATGTAGGAAAAAGGCACATACAAGGGAGATAATCAGGAAGGAAAGCAGCATAGCTACACTCTTCTGCTTGAGGACATCAGCACAGGTGCGAAACAGCATCACTCCAGGTAAGACGCAGCTGCCAGCTCATCTCCCATGAGGGCAAGAAGCTGCTTGACCCAGAACCCACACTTCCCCAAGAATGCAGTGGCTTCAGAAAGCCCCAGGCATCTAGGTACGGCAGCCCAAGGTGACAGAAGGCTTAGGACCCATCTAAGAACATGCCTTTCTCTTTTTCAAATAACTCACAAAATCAAATTCGGCATTGCTCAAAGGGATCCCAACTTGCGTGTGGTGGGGAAATCAGAGCTTGGGACTGGCCCTGGGCTACTCCGAGGATTAGCAGGAAGCCTTACCCTGATTTCGCAAGAAGTTTTGTGATGCAAACCATCTCAAAGCTCTGGTCCAGATCTTCACCTGAGACGCCCTCCCTTTTCCCTTTGGTCCTGTCTTCTACTCCAGGGAGCAAGTTAGATGAGTGGGAGATTGATTAAACTGTGCTGGGAAAACGTCTCGGCCTCACCCACTCCTCCTTCACACCCCCAGGAAGGAGGAGGTGCAGACTGTGTCTGACTCTTTGCGACCCCACAGACTATAGCCCACCAGGCTCCTCTGTCCACAGGGATTCTCCAGGCAAGAATACTGGAGTGGATTGCCATCTCCTTCTCCAGGGGATCTTCCCGACCCAGGGATAGAACCCGTGTCTCCTTTGGCAGGTGGATTCTTTACCACTGAACCACCTGGGGTATACACATATTCCACTCTTGGATGAGGTGTTTTGTTTTGTTTTTTTCTCTTTTCCTTTGTGCACAGGGAAGCATTCAGCCTTGATTGCCAACATCAGTCATTTGCACCCAAGCCAGGGACCAGCTTCAGGATGAAGGCATTCTGGTGCTGGGAGAGCTGAAATGAAAGAACAGAGGTCCCCCGTGACATCACTGATCCTCCACTGAAGCCACTGGTCCCAGAGCCTGTCTTACCATTAGACATCTTGCTAGGTGAAGAAGTACATGTCTTCACCATTTAAACTCCTGAGTTATGTCAGGGAGGGTTTATGTCACTCACCCAGAAGGTGTCTCTGACTGAACGGTCATGCTGACTGCTCCAGGCTGAAGTCTGAACACCTGGCCCACTCCGGTACTGACTCTGCTGTCTGATCTTGGAGAAGGGACTCCACCTTTCTACACCTGTTCACTCCATCTCAAATGTGGGGAAAATTTCTCCTGTCCCTCCTTATTTTGCAAGGTGATTTGAAAACCAGTGCAGGCCCTGGTGGGCCGGTGGTTAAGACTTCACCTTCCGCTGCAGGGGTTTTGGGTTCAGGGAGCACGTCAGACCACGGATGGTCAATTTCAAGATGACCTTCTGAGCTGACTATGCTGTTTCTGCCTGGAGCCACCACCCCCACCCCCCACCGCCCCCTACTGCCATAAAAGCTCCTGTCCTCTGATCATCAGTGGGGAGGACGGGCCTTTGGACAGGCTTCCACCTGCCCACCCCAGCAGCCAGCCTCCAAAATAAAGCAAACTTTCCTTTCTACCAACCTGGCCTCTTTAATGGCTTTGAGCGGTGAGCAGTTGGACCCCATCTTCGGTTACAGATTCCCCAGCTCAGAGCATCTGAACCCCACTCTTATCCTGCTCCTCTCTGTGGCCCTTCCCTAGACCTTCTGACTCAGTCCATCTCCCCAGATCTCTTCTTCTGGTCATCTCAGGGCCACTTCCCCTCTGCTCTCTCCATCGGCTGCTAAGCTCTACATTATCCTAGGCTTCAGCATCTCACCTCTCCTACCTTCTCTCATTTCCTTCTGTCTGGACCACTGGCATCTTCTTCTAACTGGTTTCAACACTGCTAACATCTGCACCTTCAAATGCGTCTGACACAGTGTAGCCTGATTCATCTAAAACATATCTCAGCTCTTGATTCATCTGCCCATGACTTAAGCAACCCAGCCCCTCCCTGATCCTCACATACGCCCGTGCTGGCCCATCTGGATTTCTCTGTTAAAACTCTTCCTTTGCCCAGAGGAGGGACCACCCTCCACCCTTACTTCCTGAAGCCCAGCCTTTTCTCGTGTTCCCCAAAGATTCTGACCCTTCCCTTCTCCACCCTCTGAGATATTTTGCTTGTACCTGTCTCAGGAGGGGCTTTCCTGGTGGCTCAGTGGTAAAGAATCCGTCTGCCAATGCAGGAGACGTGGGTTCAATCCCTGAGTGGGGAAGATCCCCTGGAGGAGGGCATGGCAACCCACTCCAGTATTCTTGCATGGAGAATCCCATGGACAGAGGAGCCTGGTGGGCTACAGCTTATGGGGTCGCAAAGGAGTCAGACACAACTTAGCGACTAAAGAACAACCACCTCTCCTGGGGCATCTATCCCATTCTACCTCACATAACCATAATCCCAGGACAGGGGCTCTTTCCTCTTCCCTTCTACATTGTACACTTGAGGCAGAAGATCACACCCTGTTCACGTCTGTGGTTGCCCCTCAGAACTAGCCGAACAGCCGGTTTGATGTAGGTGTTTAATACCCGTGTACAGAATGAACGGATGTGCCTATCGCTTGGGAGATTTTCCAAACACCAAGTGGGCAGTCCATTTCTGGGTCTGTCTCTCTTTCTATTTAATGATGCAAATCAGTTGTAGCCCTAATGAGCCCCACATTGCTGGTGGAGCCAATGACTAACCCTATAACAGACTTGGGGCTGCTTTATGAAAGCGCTCTCCAAACATCTTTATAGCACAGCCAGGCACACAAGGTCAGGAAGAGATAGCTAGAGAGTTACTGGAAGTCAAGTCGAGACAAGAGGTACT